TTTCTCTTAACGTTTGTTTGTTTTTGAAAGAGAGAAACAGAGCATGAGCAGGGGAGGGGCAGAGAGAGAGGGAGGTGCAGAATCCGAAGCAGGCTCCAGGCTCCGAGCTGTCAGCACAGAGCCCCACGCTGGGCTCCAACCGATGAACTGTGAGATCATGACCTGAGCTGAAGTCGGACGCCCAACCCACCGAGCCACCCAGGCGCCCCCTTAAATTCTTGGTTTAACCTCACTACAGTAGAGATCAGGAGACGCAACCCCCACACACGAAAGCTCTCGGGGGCCCTCAATGATCCCCACAAGTGTGCAAGTGTCCCGAGGCCACCGAATCTGAGAAACACTGACCCAGGGAGCAAAGGGGACACTCGGCTTCCTATCTTCGACTTGCCACTTTCCATACGGTTTCCCCAGCTCAACAAACTCTCTAGGGCCTGGCCCACATGAGGGAAGGGCCTAAGGAGGCCTTTTCTCATAGCGGCCACCTCCAGGGATGGGGCGTGTGCAGCCTGTGCGGGGCCAAGGGACAGACGAGGCGGGAAGGTCTCCGTCAGCCTCTGCGCAGGCAGGCGGCACACTCCTCACAGCACAGCCGCGGCTGACGCGGGCACCGGAGAACCTCCCGGAACCCAGTCCCGGCAATGAGAAGGGCCCTTGCGGACGGGCAGTTAACCCAGCCCTGCCTCGGGAGGCGCCCCCAACACAGACCCCATCCATCGCCAGACGGCTGCCACCACGGCTGACGGGAGCCTGCGGGCGTCCGCGGGGACAGGCTGGCCTTCCGCCCGAGGGGGGCGAAACGCTGTCCCTGGAGGGAGCAGAACCAGGGCGCCCTCCGCTGCCCCAGCCGCTCCCAGCCGGCACCGTGCCCCCTGCGGGAGCCCCATGCGATGCCGGGTCCGTCCACCAGAACTCACCTGCCTCGACGGGGATGGTCTTCTGATAAGCAGAGGCCCCCTGGGTGACATCCTCGAAGGTGGAAGCATTCTAGCAAGAGAGAAGCAGGACACTCAGGGGAGCACCCCCCTCGCCCTCCACGGCCCGTGCGGGCTCCTACCGCAACGCAGGAGCCTGCTGGCCCCACGCCCACCTCTCCGCCCGGCATCACGCTGGGGTACGGCGTCAGGGCGGGAAGATGACCCTGCAGGACCCTGCACCGGCGGAGATGCGTCATCATGCACCCACGTGGACCCACACGGGGCACAACGTCAGGAGCGCACCCGATCTCAGCCGCACGAGCCTGGGCGACGGGCACACGTCAGCACAGGTTCGGGGCTGTGACAAACGCATCGCCCCGGCAGGGGTGCGGATAACTGGTCAGGGGAGAGGGCGGGCCCGAGTGAGGGCAGGCGTGTCCGCCAGACGTCTGGAGCGTCCTCTCACGTCTGCTAAAACTGCTCTAAAAAAACCTGCCAAAAAGCTACCCCAAAACTACGCGTCGGCCGGCATCGGGCCATCATAACCCAAGCGTGTGCTCCTCCCAAGCCCCTCGCGCACCCCCCTCCTCGGCCACTGAGACGGGCTCGAGAGCCGGCAGGAGCCCCGATGTCTCTGCTGGGCCACGTTCGAGCCTCGCTGGGCCTGATCGCCCACGTTTCCCAAGGCACGAGACCCCCCCTCCGCCACCACCTCGTCGATTTTGGAGGACAAACTCTGTCCCAGCAAAGCGACAGTGTGACTGTCGGATCCAGACGCGCAGAAGGGCTCACGGAGCGCGCCAGCCATCCTCGGTTCCCCTGTCAGGGAAACAGGCCTGAGGCTCAGGACGCTGCTGGTTTTCTGACACACAAACGAGGAGAAAGGGGCCCCGAGGTGGGGAGCAGGGCAACCCAAGCTCCCCTGGCCGCCGGAAACCTCTGAGAGGGGCACGCGCCCCTGGCCCACCTGCTCTGCCCCTCCCCGGCCGGCGGCCCCCCGGTCCCGGTGCCCGCAGCACACAGGGGTCACCGAGCCACCCTTGCCTCGTCTGCAAGGCGCGGCTGCTGGCCGTGTGACCAGACCTGCCCCATCCCGGGCACCCCCTCCCAAACTGCCGGCCATGCAACTGCGGGCCATGCGGCTTTCCAGAACACCCCACGCCACCCCCACCCCATCCTTGAGGGAGGAGGGCGTCAGCGCCCTCCCGACTGTTCCCTGTGGGTCCCGCTGCACCACGGCCTGCCCCGTCCAGCCGATTCTCCGGCACGCCGCTCAGGGTCGTCTCCGCCGCCTCCCCATCACCGCGCCCTGCCTCCTCACTGACCACGACCCCCTCCCTCCACCCCCCTCTCCTGGTCCCGCCTGCTGGGCACCCCTCCACCACTCCCGCCGTGGACCCGAGTCCCAGCGACCCCCCTCACTCAGGGACCACCTCGCATCGCCACCCGGCTCTCAACCCCTCGTACGCATCTACTGGGACCCAGGCAGTCACCACACCTCCCCAAGCCTGTGCCCCGCCCCTCGCTCCCAGGGCCACACACGGTCATGCGTGGAGTCCCCTGGGTGATGACGTCTGTGTGGTCGGCTGTGAGTCCGACGGAACTCCAGAAGACCGGCCGTGCCACCTGTGACCACGGGCCGGGCATGGGACCGGTCTTTGAGGACACTGGAGCCACAGCCCGGGCAGTCCACGCTGACGTGGCAGGACCACAGCCACCCCGGGTGTGAGGACTGACTGGCTGAGACTCCGAAGCCACCAGAGGGGACAGAGTCCCGGTGAGAGCAATGCGCTGGCTCTGGACACTGTCCCGCGGGCCCCCTGCAGTGAGGCGGGCGTTCTGGATGCGCGTGCTCCCACACAGCAGCCAGCGCCCCCATGTGGCCGGTGAGCTCTTCTACCGCGGCCACGTGACTGAGGGACTCCACTTCCAATTAGGTTTGCTACTGATGGGAATTCACGCGGCCACACGTCCTCAGGCTGCCCTAGCGTCTGAAGGTCCGGGTTCCGAGGGCAGCGCAGCCGCACGCCTTGGCGTTTTATAGTGCTGCGGCTGAGCTCGGGGCCCGCCTGGGCTGCTCCCTGCCCCACAGCACGGCTGTGCGGGGCCCAGCACCCGGGAAGCAGCGTTCCGAGTGTGGGTGCCTCTGAGAACAGGGCCCAGCACCGACCAGCGACGGTCCACAGGGCGGCGCGCAGCAAGGGCTCCGCAAGCTCCCGCCCCCGTCGGCCCAGCACGCCGCACCCCGGGCCGGGGCCACTCACCTTATCCATCCGATCCTTCTGCACTCCGTATTTTCCGCCGAATCCTTTGGAATAGTCTGAAATGTGGCACAACACGACACTTACTCTCAGGTCGAGCGCCAGGAGACGCGTGCAGGCAGATCCGGAAAGACCCAAGAAAATGCACCCAGAGCGAAAAGAAACGAGAACCGCCAGACGATGGGTCTTGCCTCGCAAGGCGAGTTTTGTTGCTACAACGGTACTCAGTACGCAGGCAGGCGAGGGGCGGGCAGAAAAGAGGCATGTGTGCGTGCTTTCCGCACTCTCCCGAGGGACAGAGGGTGTGGGGTGCGGGCTGGCAGGCAGGGACAGCGAGGGGACCGCGGCCCGGGCAGGGCACCGCTTCAATAGCACAGGCTTCCGCCCAGCAACGGCTGACCGTCCCCGCCCCTTCCTTCCGGTGTCCTGCTCTGAGCGCCACAAGGAGGCTCAGACGCGGGCTCCTCTTGCTTTTTACGAGAAAAACAATTCCACGGGGAAATTCTGGCAGCCGAATACTCGTGTCGCGGCAACGCAGACCTCCATGAGGGTCACACCGCCACGCGGCATCAATGCCACGCGGAGCCAAGGCCACGTCCAGGCCGTGTGCCGGACCAACTCAAGCGCGTGGCGCGCCTTCCCTCGCCCGCCCCCGGCACACGTTGCTAACTAACACTGGCACCGGAGGCCTGAACTCTGCCTCGGGATTCAGGGCCGCACTGCTCTCCAGCTGGGGTCCCACCCCGAACGGCTGAGTCCGGATCCTGACTGTAATCAAGTAAGGAAAAGAGGCAGATGCCACTCAGGCTCCCGATGCCTAGGAAGTCCCTGTCCCTTTTTAGCTGTGGGCACATACTGTCGGCTCTGTGTGAAGAACTCACACGCGACCCAGGTGGCGTCACCCAAAAACGGAGGACACACAGAAACATCCCCGCCCCAGCCGAAGACACCACCACAGAAGAAACACAGAGACCACACGGAACACGCCTGCCCCACGCCCCTCGCCGCCACCTGGCCTCTGGCCTAAGGCTAGTGGCCTGGCCGAACCGCACACGTCCCCCCCCGTCTCAGAGGCAGCGAGGCAGCGCGTTCAATGGCTCCCAGTGGTCACGGTCCACAGCACGAGCTCCTGTAGAAGGCTGCTGGGAGACCAGAGACAGCCCATCCCAGAAACTACTCACATGATGGGGTCAGAGTGACATTAACCTGTGAGCTACCGCCTCATTTTGCCAAACCCGAAGTCTGAAGGATAGAGGGGAAATGGGGGAGTGGAGGAAGGAGGGGTGCAAGTTAGAATCCCTCCAGCATAAAAGTGGGTTTCAAACACCCCCGTGCCCCTGATGAGGGATGGCGGGGAGCTCAGAAGGCTGAGCCCCTGAAGTCTGTGCTAGAAGCGGCTGCGCCAGAAGGCTGGGGGGGGGGAGCGGGGGGAGGGGGCTGGTGAGCGACTATG